CTCTCTGCTTGTGACAGGTTCAGGATGAAGTCCCATGTCTCAGTCCCTTCAGTTTCATCAAAAACTCAACAGGGAAAACACCTGTGGAGTCACAGGTCCCAGAGGGGGACCCATTCACGGCCATCACAAGCCCATTCCTGTCTCGGACTGTTTGGCTTTCTGACTCTGCATGCTCTCATTTCCCCAGCATGCCATGCAATCCATTTTTGGAGGCTGATTGAATTACAAATGCTTTTATTTAATACAAAATGCCATCAGTGACCATAAAAATAAACTAGTCGTTTACTTAGGAACAAATGTTGGAAATTTGGCTGGAAATCTATGTCTTAGACATAGAGATCCTGAGAAAAAGGGAGCACCATGTGGGAAAAGTTCAATATTATATTTAAGACAAGAATAAATCAGTTAGAAAAGAAATCTAGTGAGACAAGTACCTTTAGCTGCATAAAAAAACATATGGTAAGAAAAACAAAAGAATAAGCTCATAAGGAAAAAAGGGGCACGTTGTTTCCTTAAAAAGTGTTAGTTTTGCCGAAACCAGTTTGGCTCAGTGGATAGAGCGTCGGTCTGCGGACTGAAAGGTCCTGGGTTCGATTCCGGTCAAGGGCATGTACCTTGGTTGTGGGTACATCTCCAGTAGGGGGTATGCAAGAGGCAGCTGATAGATGTCACTCTCTCATCGATGTTTCTAACTCTCTATCCCTCTCTCTTCCTCTCTGTAAAAAATCAATAAATGTGTTTGTTTTACATGTTCCAGTATCATTTTGTATGAAGGATCAGTAATCACCACCTTTCACAAATGGGACAAGTGAAGTGCTAAGAAATGAAGTGGCTTTCCTGTAATTGACTTATCTAAGCTTTCTGTTTTGTTTTGTTTTTTTCTTTCTTTGCTCAAAGACACAATAAGAGCAGAAAGAGCCTAGACGGGTTTGGCTCAGTGGATAGAGCATCGACCTACGGACAGAAAGGTCCCGGATTCAATTCCGGTCAAGGGCATGTACCTTGGTTGCGGGCACATCCTCAGTAGGAAGTGTGCAAGAGGCAGCTGGTCCATGTTTCTCTCTCATCGATGTTTCTAACTTTCTATCCCTCTCAATTCCTCTCTGTGTAAAATCAATAAAATATATTTAAAAAAAAAAAAAAAAAGAGCAGAAAGAGCCAACTCCAGAATCTTCAGTCAAGGATCATGTCTGCTCCACCTCCCACACTGCAGGGCTGTTACTCCCCTCTGAGACCCAGACCCTCAAAGACTCTGTGAGTCAATTCTGAAACAGCCAGCTGACACGGCCATTCAATCTAGCTGGTTGGTCCACGGAACTATATGTAGATAAGACCAGTATTTTTACTTTAACCTTGAAAGGGAGTTTAACTGTATTTAAAGGTCACAAGCAAAGCAAGTAACTGAAGACAAAGGTTCTGCTGGGCTGGAAGGGAAGTAATCCCTCGCAGCATCACACTGTAGTATACTAAAAGAGGAATTTTCTTATAAATCTCCAATACAGCTATTGTTGAAATGAATTGAAGGAACTTTGAAAGTATTTTTTATTTTCCTTTTTTAAAGCATTGATAGAAAGTCTAGCATGAATTAAATTTATAATAACTTGCATTTTTTTTCCATATAAATAATGTATCTATATCCATTCTACCTGAATGTCTTGGGAGTTAAATAATGTTAACCATCTGTTCCTACTTATTAAGGTGTTTTCTCAAGAGTCTGAGATTGGTCAAATAATCAAATACTCCTTTCAATTTAAATCATCCCAGACCATACCACATGGTATCTAGTAGAAAAGGACAAGGCAAAATTATCTTGTCCATGTGAGATTTTATAAAATAGAGATTTCCTATGTTTATTCTTCACCTCTGCAAATGTAACAAATTTATCATCTTGTTCTAATTGGGAGAATATTCCAAAGAAATATCCCATTTATCTTTAACTTTTGAAATCTCCTGTTTAAAGGTGATATAGTTCCCTGCTTTAGTCTAAGGGTTGAAAATGGAGGACCCTTGTCTTTGAAGTGGATAAGTGCAGTTTGTTAAATTGATTAAAAAACATAGAGTTCAGCCTGGCCAGTGGGGTTCAGTGGTTGAGTGTTGACCTATGAACGAGGAGGACATGTTTCAATTCCCCATCAGGGCACATGCCCGGGTTGCTCAATCCCCACTAAGGGTTGTTGTGTGGAGGAAGCCGTTCAATGATGATCTCTCATCATTGATGTTTCTATCTCTCTCTCCTTCTCCCTTCCTCTTGAAATCTCTTTTCAAAAAGTAGAGTTCAGAGAGGCTCCCATGTTTGGATCTAAGATAAACAATATTAATATTTCAGATAATTATAATTCATTGACTTCCATTATTTCCTCTCTACATAGAGGATCCAGCTTATGTGGCCTTATCTCTGAACTTCACACAAACTGGCCTACACCTCCTCCTTAACCTTTCCTTATATCCCTTCCCCAACCTCTTGAACCTTCCAAAGTCTGTCTCCATTTTCATATCCCTGAGCTTTATATGATCATCCAACTATAATAGAAATCACCTCTCCTAACCTTCAACTCCCTTAGCCTGTACTCCTGTACCAGTGGCTCAGGGCTATCCAGGGAACATTCATGCAATGAATTTATCCTGTCCCCACCCAACTATGATCTACACAACACCTCCTGTCCAGACTAGTGAATCTGCCTTAGCTGGCCTTCCTGCCTCTTGCCTTTTCCATTCATCAGGTGGGCTTTCTCACTGTCACCCAAATGTATTAACCTAATGCTGCTCTAATTACCCAGAATGCTCTCTTTCTCCCCTTGCCACTCAATTCCACCCATCTTTCATGTTGTGAACTAACTCCATTCATGCTTTCAGGAGACCCATCCTACCATATGCTCTTCCTTCTCCAGCTTCCTTTGCTTTTAGGTTCAATGCAATCCTGCCTGTCTCCCTGGACAGTGGAATGCTGCCTGTTTTCCACATGGCCCAATGTCAGCAAAGGTCTGACAACATAGGAAAGAACTACTGACAGGCTTTGCACATCTTCACTTCCATTTTTTGAGTATTTGATTATTTGAGCAGAGATAACCTAGTTTCATCAGCAAAGTTGAGAGGTTACTGGAGAGAAAAATAAACCGGCAACAAAAAGGAGCACCTGAGATAGGATGAGGATAGAAATTGCAAAGGCTCAAGAAGGAAAGCTTGCTGGAGGTCTAAGTCAAATCAAGTCAGAACACATCCCTGTGCTTTTCTTTGTCCTATATAAATGGTTTCTCTGGAACACGAAAGAGTTAGAATTCTTTTCCTCTAGATAGCTAGCTTTGTGTCTTTACGCATAATATCTGAGTTTCCCCTGGAACAGAAAAGGGAAGTATTTCTTCATTCAATGAAAAGAAACTATCTAGATTTCCTTTGACGTTAGTTTTGTTTATATGGCTGTTCTATGGCTTTCTTATTCTGCAACCAAAAATCCATGATAAAAATCAGTGATTTGAGACTAAATATATTTCACGTGTGTTTGTGTCCCTTATAAAAACTTAAAAAACAAAAACAAACAACAACAACAAAAAAAACGATTCCTTTTTCAAAGATACAAGCTTTCGAATTTCAATACCACGTATACTTTTGGGAGCAACTTCCCCTTTGACATTTCCTCATATAAACGGTCTGTTGAAATTGGGAAAAGCAGGGGAGATCCTGTTCTCTGTCCTTATCTCACCCTCTGGTATGGGGGACATTTCCTCATGACGGTTAGTGTATTAACTGCTGGCAGGCCTCCAAAAGTAAATAAGGGTTGGACAGAGCTGGAGATTATGCCAAGACCTTACGCAGAATCTTTGCCCTTGATCAAGGACAGAAGGGCCTCTGTAAAGACAAGTTAGATCAAGGAGACTCAATAGGGGGGCCTGTTGGTACCTGAATAACAAGCCCCTCAAGAGGCATAAATGCAAGACCAAAGATCCCCTTTGACATATGGAATTCCCAAAGAGCTACCTTCTTCTTCTTCTTTTTCTTCTTCTTTTTTAAAAAAAATATATTTTATTGATTTTTTTTATAGAAAAGAGAGAGATAGTTAGAAACATTGATGAGAGAGAATCATGGATTAGCTGCCTCTTGCATATCCCCTACTGGGGATGTGCCCGCAACCAAGGTACATGCCCTTGCCCAGAATCGAACCCGGGACCGTTCAGTCTGCAGGCCAACGCTCTATCCATTGAGCCAAACCAGTTTCGGCAAGAGCTACTTTCTAAATATCCATCATGTGTATCTTATGGAATTAGAAAGTCTATTTCGTTAACATACTTTGCAGGTACAAACACTCCTTACTGAACAAAATCTTCCCTGTGGCCTTAGGAGCCCTCAGTTGAACAAATCTTCCTCATTAGATGAGCCTAACCAGGAAACTTCCACTTGTATTGTTCAGGATTTCTACAAGTTGCCAGAGGCATGACTTCATAAAATTTAGGACATCCAAAGGACATCATCTGAGGCCCCTTGAGTTCCTTTCTAAACTTGCCTTGGCTACATGGATCTCCATCTTGCCCATTCCCTTATCTCCTGTTCTCTCATTTTTTCTTGACTTTCCAGTCTAGCTATCTTAGCAGGGCTCCTTCCCCTTACTCAAACCCGTATTTGTTGTTTACTGAGCAGTTCACAATCTACACTTGCTCTCAAGCACCTCTCTTAAGTCTTCAGACTCAGGAGTAAGGGAGAGAGAAAGGGTGGGGATGCATTTTCTTCCTTATGTAGTGGCAAACTAGATCTCTTAAAGTCCAGTGACTGTAGGTCCTAACTGGGTTACTTCTCTGAACCTTAAAAGTTGCCCCTTGATCTGAAAGCTCTTCCTCTTCTCCCCTCATACTGGCATATGTCAGCAGGATTCTTCCTACACTCAGCTCGGCCATGGTCCTTGAGCCCACGGTGATCGACAGCAGAGATGGGCAGGATGAGCAGTGGTAAAGATCGACCACCGACCAACAGATTCACCAAGCTGAGCACGTGTCCAGAGTCTAGACTCTCACCTGAATGAGGAGATCGATAGCGAAAGTCCTCTTTGGTCAGCAGCAGGAGAGCTTTGCCATTCATTTCAAACGTGTTGCTGTCAATTGGCCTTAAAGAAAACTCATTTTCAGCCCACTTGAGCCACTGGGCTACGTCATCCCTGCTCCAGTAAACTGGCTGCAAGCCTGTTGGAGAGAGAGCAAGGCAGAAAGAAAGAGACAGGAGAAAAAAAAAAAAAAAAAGGTCTTGTCAGTTAGACAGCTGGGATAAAGGGGAGAGATTTCTGAATGGTTAACAACATTGGGTCCCCAAGTCTGAAGAGCCCCCATGTTCAACCCTGAATCCCAGATTAAAACCCGAGCTTGATAAGGGCCAAAGTGTGATATAAATAGAGGCAAACTGAGCAAAACATCTTTTTTTTTTTTTGTCTTTAAGGGACCATTGGTCTTAGAGTCCCACCCTTCCTTGCCCACTCCAGGGCCTATCTGGATTCCAGGGTTGCCGGGAAGGTGCAGCTCTATGGTGGCCTGAGGTGCCGATGCGGGGCTCAGAGTCATGACACATGCCAACAGACTTCGAAGGAGAGCTTTAAATCAGAGCTGATCTGATTGCGACCCAGCGTCCTTTCGAAGTGGGAATGTTCCAGAGCTGGGCTTGACCTCCCAGAGCTGCCAAATAATGAAGTGTTCCCTGAAATTTCTTCCTGGAAGAGCATTTGCTCAGCCTCTGGGAAACCATCAGGCCAGCCTCTGGGGAGAGAGGGCAAGGTAAGGAGAAAAGACTTTTGCCTTTTTAGTCTACTTGCTGTGCTTAGAACTTCCTGGAGTGGGGAGTCGGGAGTGGGGTGGGGGGAGGTCGGGGGGAGGGAGAGCTACTTGGACTCGGAGCAGGGCCAGAAGTGGGTCAAAGGGAGCGCTGCAGCTCAGGGCCTATCTCTGTTGGGAAGCCTGACTGGGAATCTACCTTTTAATTTTATTCTGCTGTTGTGAGACGTCTTTGACATCATTCAAGGGGTTTAGAATAGTGGTTCTCAAAGTGTGATCTGGGGACCCCTCAGGGTTCCCAACACCTTTTCGGGGGCCTATGAAGTAAAAACTCATTTCATAACAATATTAAGAGATTAGTTGCCTTTTTCACTCTCATTCTCTCATGAATGTACAGTGGAATTTTCTAGAGGCTACACAAGATGTGGAATTGCATCAGAGATGAGAATCCGCCATCTCCAATGAAGCTGGACATGAAAGAGACTTGCAGAGATGTGGCACACTGCCACTCTTCTCACTAGTTTATTTTTGTAAATATATCTGTAAATAGATATTTGTTAATATATACTTAGCTTATTACTTTTCAGCAATTTTACAAATATTATCAAAATTTTCAGTTTTGATTTCCAATCTGGTAAAAAAAAAAAAAAAAATAAAATATATATATATATATATATATATATATATATATATATATATATATTATACACACACACACACACATAACCCATATGAGCAAAGCTTTTTGAGGCCTTCAATAACTTTTAAGATTTGAAAGGGGTCCTGAGACCAAGATCATTGAGAACAGATGGGTTAGAAACAGCTAGATGCACAACAGAGCTTCATTCTCTAAAACTGCACTGTGTAAACAGTTCCATACAATGGAATCAGTGAATCAGTGTTTGCTAAGAAGAGCCTCAGTCTCTCTCTGCAGTTAGTACCTAAACTTGCTAAGGAGACTCCACGAGTGTGCTACAAGAGTGTCTTTCAGTTTGATCCTAGAAAGAATCGCCTCTCAACCTTAAATAAGGCAAGACAAAGACCTGTCTGGTCTACTTGATGGACAGCTCAGCATTCCTGGGGAATGAATGGCTGGGGTCCCCTGGAGAAGGTCCAGGGCCCGTAGGCATGACTTTGGCTCTGTCTCCCAGGCAGCTCCTTTGCAAAGTCTAGTTCTGAAGAATGGCAGCTCCCTTGAACTTTGTGGAAGTATCTTCAAAACTGGTCCACTGTGTAGGGCATCAATAAAAAAACTACAAGCATCGGGATACTTAGAGATGGGCACCTAGGTGAGGTTGTTGAGTTGTTTTGTTTTTAAATTGTATAATTTTTAAAATATATTTTATTGACTTTTTACAGAGAGGAAGGGAGAGAGATAGAGAGCTAGAAACATCGATGAGAGAGAAACATCAATCAGCTGCCTCTTGCACACCCACTACTGGGGATGTGCCCGCCACCAACGTAAATGCCCCTGACCGGAATCGAACCTGGGACCTTTCAGTCTGCAGACCGACGCTCTACCACTGAACCAAACAGGTTTCAGAGTAAATTGTATAATTTTTTTTTACATAGAAAGAAATAATAATGTGCAGCATGTTACTGCTCTATGATCTTTAGAATAAAACGGTCACTAAAGAATTTAAGGTTCTGTTTTAAGATTCTTAACTGGGCCAAGAAGCAATGTCTATTAAAAATGGTCATTGGATACAGGGGGCATTCCAATCTTTCCCAACGATCTTGAAAAGATGAATCTGGAATCGTGGTAAGGTGGAAGCGTGAGGATGGCTCAGCAAAATTTCAACAGTTGAACCGGTACAAAACCTTAAAGTTTACTTCCTATGACTGTCCACAGTGCCAGTCATCTTAGAACAAGAACAGCATCAAGGCTTGTCACTAGAGACTTTCCCCTTCCTCTCCTTCATGCGAGGCCAGCCATGAGGGGACACCTGTGAGGCTCTAGGTCAAGCGTGGCCTGAGAAAACGCCTGGGGCGAGAGGGCCACAGGAGCAGAAGACGGTGGGTCAGAACCAGGAAAAAGGACAGGGGAGCTTATTAGAGGCGCAAGTGCCAAACCAAATACAGAACTGAATCCCGCCTGGGAGGGGAAATGAGAGTAAAATGCTGAAGTTTCTACGGAGGCTACATGGAAATGCAGGAGGGCGGGTGAGAAGGGGGTGGGGGATTGCAAGTAGTAATTTGAGGTTCTTTATATTCTACGGAAGAAAATAGTCATGAGTAATCTTTTCCCTAAATACAAGAAGAGGCACACACTCCCAACAGTCCTGCCAGTTAAGAATGACAGTTTCTCTTTTCACTTCCCATTAGTCTCTCCCACAGCCCAGCGCCTGCCGCAAGCAGAGCCACCAGGTGGAAACCCCCTCACCAGGGACCTAAGTGAATGCTCTGGGCCTGTGAGCAACAGGAACCCAGTGAGTTGGGTCCAGGGAATGCAATGGCAATCTTACTTAGCAGGTGACCAGGACCGAGCAGGCTACCTGCTTGGGGCCACTCAATAAATGTATCAGAGTCACCACTCTTCCTTCCATCAGCGTGAAGAGATGGCAGGCACATTCAGTGAGCTGGAAAGATGCTTGACAGACTTGGGTGTTCAAAGTCAAGCTTCACTGCCACTGCCTTTTTGGTTCAATAGGATAAAAAGGTTGTGGCTGCAGGATGCACTTTGCAGTTTTAACTGAGGACAAACAAGCCCCATTTATTCAACCCTAAGGTTCCCAATGCCTGGATGTTACAGCGTCTAACAAAATACAGCCCAGGACCCAGAGGAAACTCTAGTCTGATCAGGACCATTTCACTGAATTTATCTAGCACATCGACCACTACTCTAAGGAGTTTATAAATACTAGTTCATTTCATTGTATGCTCACAAGAACCCTATGAGACAGTGTTTCAGATTAGGGAACTGAGGCCCAGGGCCTTTAAGGGATTTGCCCAAGGTCATATGGCTATGGTAACAAGAGGAGTTGAGGTTTGAACCCAGGCAGTTTGAACCCAGGTTTCAGAGTCTGTGCTCATATCCATTATGCTGACCCATGCATTTCCCATCCAGATTTAGATGGATTTTCAAGACTATCAGGAATTCAGATAAGACAGAGTGAATTGAATCTTCCCCACCCAAGACTTTGATCTTTAGAGGCTTTCTCAAGTTATCAATGGACCAAAACAACAGCAAAAAAAATCTGTAGATCCCTGAAGAAATAGATTTATAAGTGGGAAAAAGAAGAAGGAGGTGGAACCCTGCTTTAAGCACATCCAGGAACACAACGCTGCCTCCCCAGCTGCTCGTTCACAGGCACTCACTGCTCACGGGCACCAGTCCTGAGGCTTCACATGGCTCACAGAAGCCACATGGGCAAGATGAGGGAGGCATACATAACATAGAACGTTGTCTGACAGTTATCTCTTGCAACTTTAACTCAGAAAAGTTGAAAAACACAGTTTTTTAAATTTTTTATTATTGGTTAAAAGAAAAAGAGAAAGAGCATCTGTAGGTCCCTGAAGAAGTAGATTTATAAGTGGGGAAAGGAAGACGGTGGAGGTGGGACGCTGCTTCTATGTTATGCTATTCGCTGTGCATGTATAACAAGCCTGTGAGAGCCATACAAAGATGGTCTGGATTTTTAATGCCAATTCATTGCGGAGTATACTTGAGGTGGATTTTATACAGAAGACATGAACTGCTATAATTAAGAAAATTACTAAGATTTCCACTGCAACTTTTCTCCCAAATGGGTCAAGTCAAGTTCACGGTGCCATACCCATCAGTGACATACCCAGGCCCTTAAACTTCCTGCTAATATTTATTTGATTCCATGTTCAAAGGCGCAGACATGTCCACCACCACATTCTTAAGCATCATTTCAGATTTTTCTGAGTTTAAACATAACTAACCATAAAAAGTGTGCTGGGAGTCGAGAGCCTGGATTTTACTAACAAGTTTGCCATTAATTAAGGTGTGACTCTGGGCGGGCCACTCAATTTCTCTGGCTCCGTGATTTCATCTGTACAATGAGGGGCTTAGAGTATGTGATCTCTATTCCCTTCTGGAATATAGTCAAGATGCTCTGCTGTAATTTGAAACTTAAAAATCCAAAGACTACAAGCAGCCCAGACCTTCTTCTTCCAGAAAATGACCCTGAGGTTCTGTAACTTCCTCAAGGATCTCCTGAATCACGGAAAACAGATTAAGTTACTTTAAATGAGGTTAGTGCTTGAGAGTGCTTTATTGTATTCTAATTCTTGGAAAAGTTATAACCCAGGCAACGGCAATAATAAACATAACATTTTGACAAGGTGCTCTAACATGTATGACCTCATTTGGAATTCTCACAAACACCCTGTGAAATCTGCTGTATTCTCATTTCAGTTTATCAAATGAGGAAATGGGGGCCTCAGAGTCATTA